CGTCTATTATTGATTTTGCACACTTTTTAAGAAACTATAAATAGAAGAGTAATTTAACTATATCATTCTTTGAATATAACAAATCTAATGTCTTGAAAAATGCAATAGAACAATGATTATAATTAATAATAACGGTAAATTAGGAACTAAGTGCAAAATTATCCATTAGTTTTATAAGGAGAGCAAATATTATTGGATATTAAAAAATATTATAGTGGACAACTATTATTAAACGGAGAAAGAGTACCAACTTTTCCCCATTGTAGCAAATTATTTACCGCAATTGTATGACTTACCAAATATGGAATATGTAATATAAAGTTACCTCATGTAGTCATGTTGTAAGAACTTATTTATTTATTAGTATTATTTTTTATTCTAATCATTTAGATTTAGTCATTAATTATGTTATTTTTCAAAACAATATGTTCTTACGAACTTGTCCACTCATTTTCACAAAAGTTACTAACTAATTAACTATCTTTTCAAACACATATTTTTACTAAATTTGGAATATAGTAACAAAAACAAAAGTAACAGCCGAAAATGCTCAACTTTCAATGCTAACTCTTTTTCACTTAAAAATGTAATAATTAAAAAACGAAAAAACTATCTAATTACATAAATATTATAACATATCTTTCTCTATAGTTTGAGATAATTATATGTTGTCTCACTAATTAATAATTTCATATCAAATTTCAAGTCAAATACATCTAGATGCATATATTTTTAATATCAGATATACTCTGAAATACGAATAATAAAAAGAGAGGAACGAGCGATATAGAAAAGAGATGAGTGAGAGAGTCATTGTATCATAGATACACACGAATCACATTAAATATATGTATCTGGGGTACAAGATACATATATCTAGAATATCAGATATATTCTGAAATACATATACATATGGAGTGAGGCAAGCGGGAGTGGGAGAGAGGAGAGCGGGAGAGTTAATATATCCCAAATACACATGAATCCACTTGAATATAGTGTATCTAGAAAATATAATTTTGATATCTTGTAACTCAAACACAAATGATAATTTCGAAAACTCACAAAAAAACACATTGTTAATTCTTAAACTAACGAGATACATGTTATTTACCCATAAAAAATCATTAAGAAGCTTTGATTCGACCCAATCCAAAGTCCAAAACTCATATGAAGAAAGTAAATATCTTTTGTATTGATGACACTATATTTTTCCTTTTCCCTTCTATTTTTAACATGTTTTATTTAAAACCATAGTTAATAGTTTTTCAGCCTCCTTTCTCCTAGTCCTTAGGCTTCCTACCCCCTCTTTTCCTTCACAACCTTAGGTGGGGGACATCACCACCTCCTACAACATCAAATATTTAGATTCTCAATCAATATAAATCATAATTTTAATATTGGAATCTTTAAATATTTTGAAATGAAATTTATATATTTATAAACTACGTAAAAAGTACTATAAGTCACAATAATTAATAATTCAAAATGTTAAAAGAATCTATGAAAAACTTAGGGTCAAAGATAAACTTGTTTGAATATCAAAATCTGAAAAGTGCCACACAAAATGGGACGGAGAAAGTATGTAATAAAATTTACTGATAAATTTTTAAAAATCGTAAATATATATTAAGCAATTTTTTTTTCATGCTTCTAGATGCACATTGCTCACCCTAGATTTCTTACATCAATCTAGTAAATACATGTTATATGTTTCATATATATTTTTATTATATTATTATTATTAATTTATATATTTTTTATGATAATTAAGATTTAATTATAATAAATTAGCATATTTTATAATATAAACAATTACATGTGTGGATAAATATTTTAACAAATGCAACCAATATATAGATCTCTAAATATGTCCATCTCTTGCCTCTACTATTTCCACCTTCTTATCATAAGTTATTTTTAACATTATAATTAATGCACTATACTACTTGGCTTGGCTTTCGTACATAAACGGGATAAGTGTCTGAAAAATACCCCAATTTTGGTCGAATTTGTTGTTGCGATACTAAACTTTCATGAGGACCTATTACCTCCCTAGACTATTTAATACCGTATTTTAAACATATATATTTGCCCACGTGGACATAAAAAATAATGCAAAATTATAAATAGTAATGTGTCCACGTGGGCACATATATACCTTTAAAATACACTATTAAATAGTTTAAGGGGTAAAAAATACGGTATTACATAGTCTAGGGAGGTAATAGGTCCTTATGAAAGTTTAGTATCGCAACAGGAAATCCGACCAAAGTTGGGGTATTTTTCAGACCCTTATCCCTACATAAACTACTACAGTACTACTGTTAGTAATGGTAGTACAATCTGATTTGAAATCTTCTGCATGTTTTCTCGATCGAAAGGAGTTTGCTTAGTTTGGGTTTCTCGAAAGGAGTTTGCTTAGTAGGCGTTTGGCCATGCGATATCATATCACGATATGGTATCGTGAGATGGAATCAGCGTTTGGACATGCGATTTTACGTTGATTCCATCTCATGATTCCATATCATGAGATGTGATTCCATATTCTCCAAAAATCATGATATGAAATTATATGGGAATTTCATCATGATTTGAGATATTTTAATTCAAAAATTGATCCACGAGTTTATATTTTGTTAAAACAACCTCACATTTATATCTATTATCCATTTATTTCATATGCAGATAAAATTTATAATCACATCATTACTTTTTAAAATTGATTATTCTCACCGACATAAAATTTATTATTCTCACCGACATATAGTCACTCTAACTCACACCAACCGATTGTTGAGTAATAAATTTCTTTTATGGCCTTGATAAGTGCACATTTATATTTTATGTGTAAGTTATTAGTATTTAGTTACATATTTCCTATCAACTTTGTTTAAAGAGATAATATTTATTTTATGACTTTGCATTGTCTTGGAAACACTATTTTTATTACTCTTACAAACATTATTTTTATGAAGTGCATTCTATAATGCTTCCAATTTATTTTATGTTCACTAAACTAATATTGATGTATTTTTTTTTATTTGGTAGGATTGTGTTGGTGCGATTGATGGAACATATATAGAAGGGGAGGTTCCTAAAGCGGTGCAATAAACATATCGTAATCGCAAAGGAAGAACATCACAAAATATCTTATGTGCTTGTGATTTTGATATGCGATTTACCTTTGTTGCTGCTGGTTGGGAAGGTACTGCACATGATAGTAAAGTACTTGAGAATGCACTTGTTGAACCAACATCACAATTTCCATTTCCGCCACATGGTAACTTTAAATTACATCCTTAGAATAAATATTATTTATTTACACAAAGCTGTCTCATTTATGTCACATATGGTTTTAGTAATTCTTTATAAAATGTTTGTTGGTAGATAAATATTATGTTGTTGATGCTGGTTTCCGAAACACAAAAGGATTTTTAGCTCCATACAAAGGACTACGCTGTCATTTGCATGATTACCGAGGAAGTGAAAGAGAGCCTCAAAATGCCAAAGAACTGTTTAATTATAGGCATTCATCTCTGCGCAATGTGATTGAACAGACTTTTGGAGCTTGGAAAAATAGATTTAGAATACTGAAACAAGTCATGAACCATTATGATATTGATTTACAAGTGAAAATTGTTATAGCTTGTGCAGTGTTACATAATTATTTGTAAGAATACCAAAGTACTGATGAAATATTTATGGTCTATGAGCATGAAAATATAGTTGCGGATGATATTGACCAACAAATGGCTCACAGTAACAATGTTGGTTCGTCTTCTCGGTCACATGATCAAGAAATGCAAGTGTAACGTGAGGAAATTATCCGTTCTATGTGGGAGGATTATATTAAAGACTAGTACACTACAATTTATGTTCAATTTTTTTTATTAAATTAAAGTTAGATGAAACAATTACTTAGGTGGAGAACAAATAACTTTGTAATAATTTATTATGCGATTTTATAAATTTTTGTTTATTTGATAAGATTGAATAAACAATTGAGGCTATTTTAATAGTTTTACAACTTATGAGATTTTTATGTTTATGAGAAAATATACAACACAAAAATTTCATATCGCATGTCCAAACAAAACTTTAATTTCATCTCATGATACCATATCATGATATCATATCGCATGGCCAAACGAGCCCTTAGTATGGATTACTTTTTCTATGTAGTTTGTGGTACGGATGCATTTATATATTAACTATATGAGAAATGTGAATTTATGATCTTTTCATAAAATTAGATATTTTATGTATATATTTTTTAAAATTGGTATAATATTCTTTGTTAACTCTCATGCTATTTTACCTTGTGCACATCTAAAGAATAATAGTCACTCTAGTCTCACTTCCTTATCGTTTCTTCTCCCTCATATATATCTCCACCCAATATTCCATACAGTTGACAAATATAAAGGCGTTGTTAGCAAACATTTTTGAGTTTCCTCAAGTATTCAAAACGAGTCCGGTTAAATTTGAATTTGTGTCACAAAATTTCATATTGAGGTTAAAGCATATTCCTTAACAAAATCAAAGCATATTTACAAATCAATTGAAATGAGAAAAATGGAAGCGAATCTCGGTGTACGCAGCCACCAACTCCTAATTCCTATACCACATAAATTAATTAAACTCAAAAATAAAAATTAACAACAGACAAAATTATGCAGCTTAACAACAAATTCATCACTAATTCTATTAACTACAAATCTACAATCAGAATTAAAGACAAAATTATAGTTAATTTCAATTAAAAAAAATAGAGGAAATATGTACTCTTTATTAAAGAAGAATGTAAGTGCATTAGATCATATGTTATCTTAAAAGAAAAGGAAAACAATGACCACCTAAAACTTACTAGAACTAATCAATTAATGTACTGTCAGAGATTAAATTAAATTAGATAATTAAGTTATTCTAAGCAGTCTAGCTAACCTAGCTAGTGCTACCAATTATTAATAAGAAATCCTCGACCTTCATCTTTTAGAATTTCATTTTTCATATTTTGACCCACTCGAAACGACCTTCCAATGGTTCCTCTTTCTCAAAGTCGAAGTTGTACCTGCACAAATATACCACGTAAATTTAAAATTTAAATTTTATAAGTTCAATCGGAAATTGATACTGATAACTTGTTAGACAATGTTAAAGGAAAGGAAGTTTTGCTTGTTGGATGAAAAATATCAAAAAGAATATTAACTATTTTCGAAATGGAAAAATCTTTTTGGCTAGAAAATTTGGCCAGAATGTTTTAAAATATTTTTACCTTTTTAACTTTAATATCTTTTAACTAAAAAATGGAAAAAAAGATCAGTTTATTTTAAAATAAAAAAAATATTAGTATAGTTTTATAAATTTTTGGCCAAATTGTGACCAAATTTTCTGATCATTTAATACTTTCCTTTCGAAATCTCACTTACAAGCACACACTTTTTGGTAAAATAACTTTTGTAACCTCAAAAATTGAATTGGGGCAAACGATAGAAAAGAAGAGTGGAAAACAAATGAGGAGAATATATAGTAGGTCTTCAATACTAATATCAAATATTGAAAAACCAAAAGAGAGAGAGAGGATTATGTACTTTTCTCGAAGTCGTTTTTCTCGAAGGCGTTTACATGTCCTTAGTTCGCATCTTGTAAAAAACTCTTCAATTTCTTCTGTAGTCGGAATTATTTCGTTCAATTCTACTTCACCGAATTCTTCAAGTGGAGGCATTTCGTTCAATTCTACTTCACCGAATTCTTCTAGTGGAGGCATTTTCTCCGACTCGGATTCTTCTTCAATCGACTTCTTCTCTCTGCAGAGATAGATAAAATAAAGGAGAGATGCTTATATAGTACTACTAGTAGAAAAAAATGAAAATGATCAATTTTAAAATTTGAAGAGCCCAAAAAATAAATAACACTACTTACTTGTCTGCAACTTCCCCACCGTTGGCCTGCAAAAATTCAAAATTCAAAATTCAAATACACTCTTATCAGATATATATCCAATTTTAAATCCCCATAAATATCTATATACATACAAAAAAAAAAAAAAACAGAGAAAATTCAGTTCAAGTAAAACTTGAATGACTGGGCGTACATCCAGATCTAGTGATTTCGAGTTGCTTGATCCGTTCCTTGAACAACAAGACATTGAACTCCCGTCCGATTCATAATTCTCAGAACTCGCCACCGGAGAAACTACATTTCCCGGTGTATAAGTATCACATATCTTCCTCTTTTTCATCATCATCAATGGTATGTCCATATCAACTACTACTACTACATCTGACAGTTGGATAATAGTAACCTCTCCAATTCTGTTTCAATTCCTTGTATACCAGATCAGGTAATTCTAGTATTTAGAATTTGTTATGAGGAAAGTAATTGTGAAATTTCTCTATCTTGGTCAGATTTATTTCAACTGTGAAGTAGAAGAGAGAGTAATGAATTATGACAATTTCGTCGGATTTTGCTTCTTATTATTGGATGATGAGTAGTGCTCTCATTTTTGTGGTCCTCCAGACACACACCCGTTTAATCTAACGGCGACTAAACGGGATTCCAGGACGACGTGATTGGGTGTCAAGTCAAATTATTATTATCAGATTTTAAAATTTATAAATCAAATTAACTACATTGGACTTTTCGATTTTTCGGTTTCTTGATAAATTACAAACATATAATTAACTTTAATTTAAATATATCTTTAGTCCTATAAAAATACAATAATCTAAGGTATTTTTTTAAAAAGAAAATAACATGATTGATACATATCAAAAATAATAATGAAATAGCATAAAACAAATATTACAAATTAATAATTCATTAAAAAAATATAATAATTTAAAAATATTAAATCATGCATGTCAAAATAAGTCTAATAAATAGTGTTATTACATGACTAAACATAGAAGAAAAACTAAAATTAAGTTATGTATTTTCATTATCTAAATTAATATAGAATTAAAGGAAAAATGTTTATTATTATTGTCATTCTTAATATTGAATTAACTTTTTTTTATTAGCATTGATTTAATTTTAAATTGAAGCTTTATTAGAAACTGCAAAGTGTAAAACCTAAGCAAAACAATTGTTTCAGTGGTTTTGGACTTTTGGTGAAAAGTTTGTTAACAGAATGTGAAAAAAGTTAAAACTAGAATATCTCGGTTTTAATTTGTTTAACTTGGTTTTACAGCACAAAAATTAAGGAATTAGAAAAAAAAATTAATCTTATAATCTTAGACTGAAAAAACAAATGTATGATGTACCAAAACTTACTTCCAGTAGAACTTCTTGAATTTTAAAAAACTTACTTATATTGTTTTATCTAAAATACAATTTTTTTTTTCCATAGGTTAGAAAACAAATTGCTATGAGCTCATAGTCGCTAAGAGGAAGAAAAACTCAATCGAACTCAAGTAAAATTAAGCCGTAATCTCTGGGGTATGATACCTCATAGCTTCATAGTTACAAGTCATTTTCTCATTACTTGTCTTAATCAAAGCTAGAAGTGAAAAACATTAGCCCATAAAATATAACTGCTTTGGTCCCATTAAAGTTAGTTTTAGTATATATATTAACCTAAATTGGCTCAACCTTACCAAAATTTTGTCAAAAAGTTGTTTTTATTTAATATGTTATACTTTATAGTTATATTATATTCCCAAAAACGCCCTGTTACATAGACACAAAATTTCAATAAGAAAAAAATGTACTAAAAGATTAAGAATAAGATAATATCTAATCTCTATCTATTCACATAGAAGAGCAGAAAGAAAAGTACTTAATATATTGTTTGTTTACTTTTTCAAATATATAAATTAATAAAACTACACGTTTCTACTCGTACAAAAAAAATAAAAATTCTTCATATAATTAAAACTAAGAACTACTCGTATCAATAAATTGTTCATAGTTGCAATTCTTCTCGTGTCAATACAAAAAGTATTATAAGTCGTAATTTTTCTCATATCAATATGATTTTAAAAAATAAATTACAAAATTTATGTGTAGTAATTTGAATCTCGAAAAAAATATATCATATAAATCCGTTCAGAAAGACTAACCATCGAAGCAACAAACTCCTTCCTAGATATATCCCTCCTTGATTGATTACTGCAAAATATAAACGACCAACAATTAATATACATGAATTGAAAATCACAACTTATAGTAGATTATTAAAGTATAAAATCTATGATCAATATTGAGATCAATTAATTAATACAAGTACCTTGAGACACAAGAAGAATAGTTTAACTTGAAGCTAGCAGCAAGAGATAGGTAATTGGTTTATTCTATCACGGTGCTGAGATAATATATAGTTTAATCACAAATCTATATTTATAGTTAAATAATTGAGTTTAGTTATAGATTAATGTGGATTAAGGCTTTTTCTTTTAACAATGATTCTTTTAGACAATATCCAATTATAAGACTGTCCAATTTTAGTTTAATTACAATAACCGTATGTTCGGATTTTCAAAGGTATATTTATTTCATGTGGAGTACTAAATTAAGGTTAATTAGTCGTTGGCAATTACTACTACCGTACATTGTCGAACCACTTTTAATTTATATGTACGAAAATATCTCTATATTAATTAATAAAGTTAATTATTATTTTGTTATCAAATAGAAGACTGATAGACATGTTATATAGATACTATTCCTCCCTCCCATTTTTTTTAAAAATTTTGATAGTAATTAACTTAAATAAAATTGACATTAGCATAAGCACTTTAATATAATTAAGATTGATGCAAGTAAATCTACTTGATTGGGACTTTAATATTAACATAATCACTTTAATATAAAAAAAAAGGTTTAATTTGGATTTCATTAAATTGGTTAGAAAATACTATGTCTTACTGCAAACAAGCAATTGATGCACTTATGTATTATGTTATTACTATTTTATGAGATAGTATTTTTTATTAATGTGCAGGCAAACATATATTTTTATTTTTAGGTGAAGATATTCAAGTGAAATGAAATATTGAAATGAATTTATTATATTTAGTCAATATTATTAAGGAATTGTTGGTTATGCAAATGCAGGAAGATTATTTGATATGCTACATACCATTTGATCGTACATAAGTTATATATTTGCATATGTGAGGGTATATGATCATATTATTATATTCTATTAAGACAGTTAATTATATTAAACTTGATATTTATTCAAGTCATGCGAAAATTAAAGCAAGTGACTTAACATATGAGAAATGTGTGGTTTTTCTCATGAAAGAAGTTTCCAATAATATTGAAGACATTGTCATTATTTACTTAATTCAATTGAAAGAAGAAAATATCGAAGAAGATAAAATAAATTACATGTCATGGTCCGAGCCTACATTCTAGACGTGGCCGACACTCAAGAACCGTTGCTGGTCCCCAAGCGAACCCCCATCCTGGTTGACTGCAAGCAGAAGACTAACTCAAGCATACACAAACATCAAACTGAAAGAAATGTTTAAGAACTGCTTACTGAATCTTAAATATCTCTGAATATATTGAGTATAAAATATAAGTTTTAAATAAAACCTCTGAAACTGAAAGACTCTCCAAATCTGTCTATCTATGAAGCCTCCACTGTATAAAGACAAGTGTCATGTAATACCTTGAACTTCGGTCACTTTTTAAGTTTTGGGTCAACTTCAAACAATCATATCTTTTAGCACATAATAAGTTAAGTGGCCCATGAGGTATCAAATTGAAGGTCATTGAGTCCTCTTTCCAACGCCGCCAAGTTTGCTCAATTCTGAGCTCAGATGAAGGAGTTATGCTTGTTTTAGTGCAACCTCTCTAGCTAAGGCATTCATCACCCGTTTTAAGAAAGGGTATTTTGGTATTTTCCTTTACCCACTAAGACTAAAACGTTTTTTCTACCAAAATAAGGGTCTAATCTGATTTAGACCAGTTTTCCACATTCCTAAACGCTTAGGGTTTTTAGAGAGAAGTTTTAAGAGGAGAAAAGGGGCAAGGGTTCAAGCGTTCTTTCAAGAACGGAAGATTTCGCCAAGAACAAGTATTCTTTCGAGGTATGTAAGCTTCTCACTGTGTTGGGATTCGTCGTCCACACTCCAATAATCTAATTTCCGTTCATGAAATCATTCATAATGAGATTCTTGAGCAGTTCTTGAGTTTTAGCCTCTTTCTTTAACTATGGGGTTTTTTGAATTCTTGAGGTGAGAGTCCTGCGAATGAGTGATGTTATTGATAGATTTTGTGTGGAATTTCATTGAATTTGTATTGGGTTTATGATTCAAAGAGAGTTTGGAAGAAATCATTCGATTCTACATGAGTTAGGACTTGAAATTGAGCAAGAAAATTCGTCGGATTTCTGGGCAGAAGGGTGGGTCGCCGCGCCAGCCATGGTGCTCGAACTATTGGTCAGTATTTTGGGGCCTTGCGTGCCGCACCAGCAGTGCGCCCCAAACATTGCCTAGTAGTTTGGGGGTTGGCGCCCTGCACCACTCATTGCGCCCGGGTCGCTAGGTCCCTTATCCTTCCGTCCTTCATTCCGTATGTGTTCCCTCGAATCGTACCAATGGTCTCTTCTTTATATTCACTCCTAAAGTCTTCATTAATCCTTGAGAGATCCTATATATCTTAATCACATCTCTTTATTTACATTTCAAATTAAAGTAAAGTTAAGAGGAAAGTTCAAGAGTTCATTTTTGAGTCATGTTGAGCATTCTTTTGAAATTGATTATAGTTTTGAGAAAAACCTTTAGTAAATGAGTATGGATAAGAGTTGCCTTTCATGTTTCAAAATGAATATAAGGGAACTAAGTATTCCTAAGTGTAATACTTTTACATTTTTCAAAGAGAGAAACATCTATGTCTAAATGAGTTATGAGTTTAGAGAAGTTTTCAGAGTATTACCTCTTTTAAGAGGATCTTTTGAGTAATTACCTCAAATTGAGAAAGTGTTATGTTTTAAAACTTTGAGAATGAGTTATATATTATTGGGAGTAGTATTGAGCATCGATATAGGGATGAGTTCAAACAACTCAAAATTAAAGTAACTTCTAAAGCAAGTGACTCTACACATGAGAAATGCACGATTTTTCTCATGAAAGAAGATTCCAGTAATATTGAAGACAATGTATTATTTACTTAATTCAACTGAAAGAACAAAAAATTGAAGAAGATAAAATAAATTACATGTCACAACATGAGCCTACACCCTAGACATGGCCAACACTCGAGACCATTGTTTGTTCCCAAGCGAAATCTCATCATGGCTTACTACAA